AACTATCTTACACTTGTACCAATCACACCCTTAGTTATTCTATTTTTCATCCATTCATGTTTTGAGAGTAATTCATTTTCCTCTCTTTCCCTCTATTTTGATCCAGTCAAAACTTTTTAGAGTAATCATTCCACTAGTAAATGGAGGCTGAATATGTTTTCTGCCCAATTACTCTAAGGGTGTGATTGATAAGTATTAGAGTAATTGAGAGTAAATAAAAATAGAGAAATTGGGAGGAAAATAATTAGAGTAAATGAGAGTAAAAGAAAAGAAAATGTGATTGGTAGTGGATTAGAGTAAATAAGAGTAAATGAGAGTAAATGAATAATAATAAAAATCTAATATTTATTAACTTATAAACAATATAACAAAATGCATATTACATTAAACTATAATATATAAAATAATTTTAAGCATATTACAATACATATATAAATGAAAACTATTTTCACAATAAATAAATATTATTAAAATTACAGTAGATTTATAAGTCTAAGCAAACTTGAATAATTTGACACACTTGCGTTCGTTTCTTTTTACCAAGAAAAAACACTTATTACATTTGTATGTTTGAAACTGGGAAAGAGATGGAAGAAGAGTTAGAAATCATGTGTTTATTTCCGTCCAGTGGTAAAACAATAAAATGGGGATGTATTTATAAGACAAAAAATAATATAAAAAATAAAAAGAAATCCAGTGCAAGATTACACTTGGATAATGGAGAGATAAGATTCTCGCCAACTTGGACGATAAAGAGAGTAAATCTTTTTTTTTTTACATTTTTATCTTCTCACTTGATTGGTGGATAACAGGTGGAATCCAGCGATAATTTTTTTCCACCTTTTCACTTTTATTCTATACATACTTTACATTCACACTCTAAATTTTTTATTTTCTTCCCTCTTCTTTTAATTTCTTTATTTCCCATACTTTTACTCTAATACACACCATTCACACCATTAACTCTAATACACACCATTATACTACAAAGTCTACAATGATACAATGTCACTAGTCAAAACTGTAATATATGAATTTAAATTTAGGTGATCGATATAATAATAACAATTATATTATTAGAACAAATCGTTGGATTACATATCATGATCATTTTATAAAACTTTGGATTCCTGTATTTGTTGAAAAAAGTTTTCCTGCATTTTAAGTTCATTATACTATGTTGAGTGTACTAGATGGACCAAATATCAGTTCCAAATGTTTTCTTTCTTTCGTAACGCACCATGTTTAATTTGTAGATATATATAATGCATTTAGATGTTTTTAAAAATAATCTCGTATATATTCGAGATGGACTCCATAATCATATCTGTTGAGAGTTCAGGTTTGTTTCTATCCTTTAACTATGTTTCTTCTCTCGATCTTGACCCAGATTCAACTCCGATTGAATCCGATGTTATA